GTCTGAAAGAAAGTTTATCACCCAGACTCACTGGCTGGAACACATTGGCTTAAGATGTGTGATTGTAAATAGTTTTACAGCATTTCCCATTTAATAAAATAAAAACCAGGAGTCCATTTGTTCCAGCAATGTATAGTTGGATTCAAGTCTTGGCCCTTTTGAAGTTCTGGAACTCTTCTAGATTTCAGAAGCAGGATTAGGCTCTCTGCCACATTTTGTTAGGTCCAGCAGAACTCGAGTTGGGATTTTTTTCATTAAAAGCTTCATTGCATGGTCTGGTGTGGACAGACAGCATTTTCAAACAATGATTCACAGAAGAGAAGGAATGAAAATATGAGGGTTGTCTAAAGTAACGCTTCATTGTTTTATTGCAGATACGTATTTGGGCTCGGAAAGAGGCAGTTAAAAATGGGTATGTTGACTACGCTTTAAATATCACAGGCCCAATATTTTCATTTCTGGAAGACTTACTTAATGTCAGCTACCCTCTGCCAAAGACAGGTGAGATTACTTTTTTTCTTAAATGGGCCAGAAATGTCTGCTGATGGTGTATCATTCACAGAAGCAATGGGTTCTTTTGCAGTATTCTCTTTTTATAGCTTTCCACATTCATGGAATAAACCCCCTAAGCTTTAACTCACTGAATTCTTCTTTCTGCATCATGGCTTGTATTAACCCATAACTCAGATGGGGCCAGAGAGTGGATAGAAAGGAGTTGTTCAGTCATGTGGCTATTTCTGGGATGCATAGACCATACTAGGCAAGGATGTTGTAGTGCTGTAGTCCCTACATCCTCCTAGTAAATCCATCCTTGCTGTAACCTATGTCTCCCCAAAACATTCCTTGCTTTTTTCAATATGTCTCTGTCTTGCCTGTGATTTGGCTGCACATTCCTTCCCTGAAAAAAAAGATTCCTGCAGGAAAACATTAAAAAAAGATCTTAAAATGGACCTAGGGTAAGTCAGTTAAGTCAAGCTTCAGTCAAGAGAAAAGGGTGCCATCATGCAGTTCCACTGAACATTTTGTCTGCTACTTGTACTTGGATACCCAATGGTTTTGGCATTAGTATTCTGGGAAAAACATACTCTTTTATACAAATTGGTAGAATATGAGAGCACAGAAGGCAGTTCTTCTTTAAAATGAGTTCTGGACCTGCCCATGATCTCAGCAGATTGCAGGACTGTGGGGGAAGAATTCCCTCCTTTATTAATTAGATAATTCGTGGATTTGTTAAATCTGTATTTTGGCGCTTGAAAGAAATAAATTTTCATCTGTGTAAATGTATTATCTCTCAGTGTATTTAGAATAACTTGCATAATTACTCACTATACTTACAGAAAATGTAGTATGTGCAGTCTTCATTCATTGAATTTTCTTATCTTAGTAATCATACAAGCTACTCAAGGGCTGTAGGCAATTTTGTTTCATGCTTGTGTTCTTCTGTTCAGCAGCAATGTCAGTACATTAATTCATTAGTATAAAAATATTACAAAATTGTAGTAGAAGAACAGTATCACAGGCTTCCTATTAGCTAACATTTAAGTTTCACAGAATGCTGTAATACCTTTACAATCACCACTGTAATGTCCTGCAATACCAACTGCGTTTCCCACTGACTTTCTTTGAAGATTTACTTAAAAATCAGTCAGGTTAGAACAACCAAGAATAGCTCCTTGTAGATGCTAGAGATCTCTGTTATGAACTCAAAATGTGAAATTAAGAATAAACACATTTAAAATCAGGGATATTTAAGGGTTTGTCTTCACCTGATTTTAATGCAGTTATAAGTGAGCTCTCTTGCCCCAAGCTGGCTCGATGAGGGCTGCCTCACTGAAAGTGAAATACCTTTGTGGAGGTGTGAGGCGATAAACTCTGCTGAGGTGCAGTCCAGCTTTGTTGGGTTCAGCACCATGCTTACATTGACTGCCTAGCTTTTGTACTGGAACTGGCTCATGGTCCGCTGTTTTGGAGTACAAGTTTGTGTCTGCTTCCAAAATGCTCTGTATACATTTTCCAAATTTTGCTTTTTCCTGCTAAGTTTAAACAGTATATCTTTCTTTGAGATCCTTGATGTTTTGTCCAGCTCTCGTATTTGAGCTGGAAAACTGTTCCCTGTGCATAAGGCAGTAGGGTAGTAGAGGGCTAACAGCCCTGCTGTGGAAAAAAAAAAAAAAAGATGTTTCTAAGGCACCTTTCATGTAAGAGTGGAAAGGATTGCTCTACTCGCAGAGCTGAAGGAGTAAGATTTTTTTTTAATAGTTGGTAGGCTGAAGAAAGAGGTAAGTATGATCTTTCCCAAACACATGAGAAACTCATAAAGAGAAAAGTTTTCTGAGAGCCAGAAGTGAATATATTCTCTCCTAGCATACAGGTAGAATACAACCTTCATTTTTGTTCAGAACATTTTTACGTAAACGATACAGTACAGATCTGGGCTTCATGGGAATTTATTGTGTGACTTCCTGAAAGAGGGGCAATCGTAGATGTAAAGTGTGACAAGCAGAAATTTCACAGACCATTTGCAAGAATGTTGCCATACTACTGCAAAAAAACACTGAACTGTAGTATCCTTTAACTGCACACTGAACTAATGTGAGCATTAAAATCATGTGAGCGTTTTACTTCCAAAAATTTTCAAGATACCTTTTTTTTTCCTCTCTTTGAATCAATTTAGATCTGGTTGCGCTGCCTGATTTTGGAGCGGGTGCTATGGAAAACTGGGGATTAATGATTTTCCAAGAATCATCGTTGATGTACCTCCCAAGTGATAAATTCACAAGCAGAAAGGCAATGATTGCCATAATTGTGTCACATGAGCTAGGACACCAGGCATGTGGTAAAAAATTCTGTACATTTATTTGTCTATGAGGTTGTTTCCTTCTGGTTGCTGATGATGCAGTAACTTATTAGTAGAAGAAAAACTGACTTGACAGTAGGGGGTGTGAGCACCAAAGGACTGAAAGACTATTTGATTACGTGTTCCACTGATAAATCCATATTAGAATCATGGAATCATATAATGGTTAGGGTTGGAAGGGACCTTCAAAGATCATCTAGTTCCAACCCCCTGCTGTGGGCAGGGACACCTTCCACTAGACCAGGTTGCTCAAAGCCTCATCCAGCCTGGCCTTGAACACCTCCAGGGATGGGGCATCCACAGCTTCTCTGGGCAACCTGTTCCAGTGCCTCACCACCCTCACAGTGAAAAATTTCTTCCTAATATCTGATCTAAATCTACCCTCTTCCAGTTTAAAGCCATTACCCCTTGTCCTGTCACTAGGCTTCCTGATCAAGAGTGCCTCCCCATCTCTCCTGTAGCCCCCTTCAGGTACTGGAAGGCTGCTATAAGGTCTCCCTGGAGCCTTCTCTTCTCCAGGCTGAACAACCCCAAGTCTCTCAGCCTGTCCTCATATGGGAGGTGCTCCAGTCCTGTGATCATCTTTGTGGCCCTCCTCTGGACCTGCTCCAACAGGTCCATGTTCTTCTTATGTTCGAGGCCCCAGAGCTGGATGCCGTACTGCAGGTGGGCTCTCACAAGAGTGGAGTAAGGGGGGAGAATCACTTCCCTTGACCTCCTGGTCACGCTTCTTTTGATGCAGCCCAGGATACAGTTTGGCCTTCTGGGCTGCAAGCACAGTGCGCATTGCTGGCTCGTGTTAAGCTTCTCATCTACCAGCACCCTCACGTCCTTTTCCTCAGGGCTGCTCTCAATCCATTCTCCACCCAGCTTGTATTTGTGCTTGGGATTGCCTCGCCCCATGTGCACTTGGCCTTGTTAAATTTCATGAGGTTTGCACAGGCCCACCTCTCAAGCCTGTCAAGGTTCCTCTGGATGGCATCCCTTCCCTCCAGCATGTCAACCACACCACACAGCTTGGTGTCATCAGCAAACTTGCTGAGGGTGCACTCAATCCCACTGCCCATGTCTCCAACAAAGATGTTAAACAACACTGGTCCCAGTACCGATCCCTGTGGAGCACCACTTGTTGCTGGTCTCCACTTGGACACTGAGCAGTTGACCACAACTCTTTGGGTGCAACCGTCCAGCCAATTCCTCATCCAGCAGGTGGTCTATCCATCAAATGCATGTGTCTCTGATTTAGAGATAAGGATATTGTGCAGGGCGGTGTCAAAGGCTTTGCGTATTAAGAGCAGATTCTGTCATGTTACAGCCTGCATACTGACTACACAGGACTCATTGGTTCAGAACTGTTAATCGACTACTGGTTTTTTTCTTTTTTTTACACAGTACCTGAATGCCATACTAGAAAGTACTGTAGGGATGCAGGGATTTCACAGTGCACTCTATATATGGTATACTTAGTGGTAGAATTAATGGACTTCATAAGTATTCTTTTGTAGTGGCAGTGCACGTACATATTGCCAAAGGTATTTGTTTTTCTGTAAGAAACAGCTTATGGTATGATAGAACAAAATTAACATGAACACATATTACACTGTGCCTGGACCTTGTCCAGTTTTCATAGAGATTTGCAAAATTTTTCTTATTTGGTTTGGAATTATAATGCAGTTTCCATTTTTTATTGAGTATGTTTAATTTACTGTTGTCTGCCAGAGCAACAATTGTTTGCACTTAGTCAACAAAGTTAGCAAAAGAGTTTAACTTGGCTAGTGTACTTGTACGCTCTTCTGACAAGGTCTGTAACTTTTCAGACCTTCAGATGAGCAGTGTGTTTTTATTGCAGGCCAATAAGACAAATGTCTGTACTTAATTAAACTCTATTTTAAAGAAAAGTTGTGGTTAAAGTTTTTGAGAATATAAAATGCAAATCCTCAATCATTTCTTTTTGCTAAATATTAACTGACAAATACAAGTATGTAGCAGCTGTTGTGGGCTAAGTTTTATTGCTTACCAGGATAGGGATTTGCTAATTTTGGAAATGGTCATTTCTCCAGTTCTGTTCATCACTCTTCTGGCAACTTCCTTCTGTTAAGATCATGGAAAAATGTTTTTCTAATTGCTTGATAAGTGCCCTACTTTTAACCGTAGCCTGATATGATCTTTCAGATATTTAATTTTTATAGACAGGGTTTTAAAATTAAATAGAGTAAAAGAATGACATAAAGCACTGACATCCATACTCATGTTATGAAATTGTAGATGAAACAATTAAGAAATAACTGCCTTGAACTTCGGACTCTGTCCAAGGTGCATCTTTTTCTCCTGAATTTTCACTCTCTGAAGGAATATTCAGCATTTTATTCAGCTGGTGTGAACACATTAAAGGTACTTCAGCATAGGTCTGTGTGTTTACAACCTGCAAATATGAAAACAGCAGTCCAAAGAGATGTTGAGACATTTTTTCTTTCTATTTAAGTGGTTTGGAAATCTGGTTACAATGAACTGGTGGAATGATCTGTGGCTTAATGAGGGACTGGCATCTTATTTTGAGTACCTGGGAGCTACCTTTGTTGAACCCAAGCTTTCACTGGTAAGTACTAACGCTTAACTGAAGTAAGCTAAAGTATTGAAGTTCCAGCATGTAGGAAGAAAAGGAAGGTGCAGGAGATGGGATTTAATTAAGCCATGACATTAGTAACTTAACTGCCCTGGGAGAGACCAGCAGGTCTTGATTCTTCCCTGGAGGGTCTCCATCTCTGGGGGCTGTGATCATACTCAGCTCTTCTACAGCTGTTGCAGAGGATGGCTGGACAGCTGTGATTCTGCAGTGACAAGGAGTTGGTGTTTTGCCCTAGATCTGTCATGCAGCAGACCCAGCTTTCTCTGTAGCTGATGGTTTGCTTCCCTCCCTGTCCAAGCTCTTTTACAAGCATCCCATACCTCAGGTATCTTTACAAGGCAGTGACTAAGTTGGTCCATTTTGAGTCTGTTTACCACACCAGGTCCATGGATGTCTGGTTGTGGGTAAGGCAAATGTAATGCACATAGCTAATCCGACAGCAGGGTAAAGCTCCTTCCCATTCCGCCCAAATGGGAATAAGCATAAATCCCATAGCATATTAGAAAACTCCATCCATCATTAAACTCTGAGACAGGAAGGATAGGTGCTGCTAATTGTAGCCATGAGATGAGGTGTACTTGCCTGTGCAATCATAAATGCCTGCACACAGTGCCCTCAGCTTCTGAAGAAAGGAGAAGCGTTTAGTCTGGGCAGGCTGGAGACTGCAGTCAATCCAGTCTGCTTTTTATTTGGCTCAGGTGAAATACCATTTGTCACTTTCCTTTTCTAATTCACCAAACTACTTAATTATATGCTTAATTGGAAACTAATGTAGGCATGTCAAACAAATTCTGTCAGAAGAATTTTTTAGGTCATGGGATATGCTAACCTTCTGCTCTGAACTTTGTTATCTGTAATGCAGTATTTTAGTATCACTGAAAAGTGTAAAGGCCACCAAATTTTGAATTGGAAATAAATCTTTGTCTCCTCTTTAATTTTAATATTTTCATTTAGAAGCTTGCCTTTCCAAAAACAACAATTGCCATTTTATTCATCTCCATAAAGTTAATTTTAATAGTGGGCAGTAATTCGTTTTGATAAATTACAGTTATGTGATATGTCTGAGAAATCCGGAGTACATTACACAAGTGTGAGAATACAGGGGTTTTTTTGTGCAGTTTTGTGGGCCAAATATATTCACAGAATGATAGAATAGTTGAGGTTAGAAGGGACCTCTGGAGATCATCTGGTCCAACCCCCTGCTCAAGCAGGGCCACCTAGAGCCAATTGTCCAGGGCTGTGTCCAGGCAGCTTTTGAATATCTCCAGGGAGGAAGAGTCCACCGCCTCTCTGGGCAACCTGTGCCAGTGCTTGGTTATCCTGACAAGGAGAAAGTGTTTCCTGGTGTTTAGAGGGAACCTCCTGTGTTTCATTTTGTGCCCAATGCCTCTTGTCCTGTCACTGGGCACCACTGGAAAGAGCCTGACTCTGTCCTCTTCGTACCCTCCCTTCAGGTATCTATATACATTGATAAGATCCCCCTGAGCCTTCTCTACAGCTGAATAGTCCCAGCTCTCTCAAGATTTCCTCATAGGAGAGGTGCTTCAGGTCCTTTGTCATCTTTGTGACTTTGCTGGACTCTCTCCAGTAGCTCTACATCTTTCCACTACTGGGGAGCCCAGCACTGGGCCCCAACACTCCAGGTGTCCTCAACAATACTGAGTAGAGGGAATGCATCACCTCCCTCTACCTGCTGGCAATACTTCTAATGCAGCCCTAGATACCATCAAGCCTTCTTTTCTGCAGGGGCACATTGATGGCTCATGTTCAACTTGGTGTCCACCAGGACTGCCAGGTCTGTTTTTTCCAAAGCTGCTTTCCAGCTGGACAACATCCAGCATGTACTGGTGCCTGGAGTTGTTCCTCTCCAGGTGCAGGACCTTGCACCTCCCCTTGTTGAACTTCGTGAGGCTCCTGCCAGCCCATCTCTCCAGCCTCTCCAGGTCCCTCTGGATGGCAGCACAACCCTTTGGTTCTTCCCAGTTTTATGTCGTTTGCAAACTTGCTGAGTGTACACTCTGCCCCATCATCCAGATCATTAATGAAGATGTTGAGCAGGACTGGACCCCGTATTTGTCCCTGGAGTGCACTGCTAGTTACTGGCATCCAACTAGACTTTGTGCGACTGATCAACACCCAATTACAAATCGAACCCTGAAAATTAAATCTGCTGTTTAGAAGAAGAAAAGTTGGTCATCAAATTTCATCCCATTAATAGGAAGCCTGTGTCCTACTCCTTGAGAAGCAGAAGTGCTCACAGTGTCCTGCAGTGTTTTAAAAATTTAGGGTTTTTTTTCTTTACCTTTGTAATTATGTAATTTTCTATCCTGTCTTAGGACAGATACTCAGCTGAGGGAAACTGAATCATCATTTGACAAAAAGATAACTTCACCAATTTGCACCAAAGGAGCCATTTTCTCTCCATATTTCTCACCAAGTGACAGCAGAAATGCCTTCCTAGCCTCAGTACCTTCATTTTCAGGTTTTTTTCAGGGCTGCAGCAGGAGAAACAAAAAACTTAGGAGGAAAATGTTGCTGTATTAGTGACATACAGATGTAAACGAGATACAGGTTTTCGGTTTTCAGTGTTTGTTCTTTTGCTGTTTAATATAATTGACTTAATTTTCCCTGAGAATTACACTGCAATTGTCTCTGTCAGGCCCAAGCCCACCATCTTCTCAGACTGATTACTAATGTTGCATGTGGGAAATGGGTGTTAAGGTTTTGACCGTGTGTGCGGTTCCTTGTGCTTCATGGGAAAGTTAGGGAAGGGGGAAAAGGATCATTCCTTGTTTATTGACAGACTATTTCTATTAGTGCTAATCTCATAATCTACATTCTCTCCTGAGAATAAGTATTTTCTGTTCAGATCACTTAGATTTGTCTTTTTCTTGCAGGATAAAATATTTTATGATCATGTTGTACAACCTGTCTTAAGGGAAGACAATGAAATAGGAGTTCGATCACTGTCAGAGAGTGAAGACAAGATCAATGGATCATTTTCTTTAATGTCTCTGTTTGACAGCATCACATACAACAAGGTTAAAGATAGAAAATTCTTCCTGTTTCTTGTGTATTCTAAATTGATGGTACAAAGTAAGTTTGAGAGAAACTGTTGAATTACAGTGCTTTTTGTAGGCTGTTTTGTCATTCAAAATTTGTTTCTGCTGAACACATAGATTTATTGGATGTTGCAAATCTGTTTAACTATGAAAGAAATAGTGAAAACATTTTTAACCTCCGTGAAATAAAGAAGCATAGGAGTAGCCTGCCTAACTTCTCTGGAATATAGTTTGAAAAAATATTGCAGTAATAATTGCAATAATAGTTTGTGTTTTCTCATAGCTTTTTTTGTACTTCAGGGGGCTTCTATTACCTGGATGCTTGCTGGTTTCCTGACTGAGAAGTTGTTCATCAGAGCGCTGACTGTAAGTTTGGAAAACTAATGCCTTCATCTTGATTTATAAACTTGAAAATGACAATTGTACAAATCTGTTTGCCTTGAAGTTTTTCATTGAACCCTCATGAATTCTGATGCTTCTGTTTGTTTCCGTACAGTTATATCTGAAAGAATTTTCCTTCTCAAATGCTAACCAAGATGATTTCTGGACTCACATACAGATGGTACTCATTTTATCTCTAGTATTCTTGCTCTGGTGTTTGGCACAGTCCAAATTTAGGGCATGTACTATTTGTAGAAGCTTGCACTGGAATTTGGCTATCCTTGGTGCAGTCTTTCTCTCACATAAAATTTGCTTTGCTGGCTCTTTCAGCTCATGTCTTCACAAGCATTTATTTGGCTGCTTTACTGTACCTCAGATCAGTGACCTAAGTACAAGGAGTAGAGAGATGAGATGGGAAATCAGAGCCAGGTGGAGTTTTGGGTTTTGTGGAGATTGCCTAAGCCTACATGAAATTGCATATCCTATTCTTCTGGAGCTTAAGTTTTGCCAGATCAGAGTGTGTGATGCTCTGGGCTTGTTAATCAAAGACACTGATATGCTGCAGATCAAGCAAAGTCTGTACGCAAGGCAGTAGCTCAGCATTTCACCCTTTGCTGGTTTTGGCAGAAATGTGAATAAGAAAACAGGTGCTAATAGTAGGTTTATTTTTTAAAACTCCACTTTCCTCTTCCTCTAAAGAAGGCTTTCACTGTGCTGCAGACTCAGCCTTAGGTTAAGAATGAGAGTGACACAATTTCAGATATGCAAGGCTGTCACATCTTTTAAGCCAACAGAGGCTGTACCAACTCACACTAGTTGGGACTTTAGCTTAGTATCTTTTTCAATTTGTCTTTACTAATCAGTTTGTTCTTTAGGTAGTCACTTAAAAATCTTTTGTTCCAGCAAAAATCTGAATTAAATTAACAGTTACCAAGTCTGGCATACTCATACAGGGGTGTAAGTATATTAACACTAAAAATAGAAAGGTTTGAAGTCAGGTTATAAGGATGAGAAATGTCATCTCAGTATTTCATAATTCCTAAGAAGGCTTATGCCGTCTTTGTTATCATGTCAATAATGTCCTTTGGACTTTGTTACATTGATTTTTTTGCTTGAATCACAGACCAGGAAGCTGATAAGCAGTTACATTTTCTCTACAATGTTAGAACAACCCCTAGAGTGCTGCTGAAGCAGAATCAGAAAGTATCTGCTCATTGTAAATGTTTCTAATACCTGTCTCTCTTGCAGGTCGTAGATGCACAGGATGAAGTTCGTTTGCCAGCATCTGTAAAACAAATAATGGATTCCTGGACATGCCAAAATGGGTTTCCAGTTTTAACATTAAATCTAACCACTGGCACAATCAGTCAGGAGCAATTTCTTAATAAAAAGAATGAAAATAGTACAGATTCTTACAAGTATGTTTAGCTTGTGTTTTTATTGTATGTTTATATCCTATTTTTAATTTTTTTTCAAGAAGCTCTTCATTTAGGACATTATGTTTTGACTATCTGATTTTTTAACTTTATGTTTTTTCTTCTCATGAGCTGTCAAGCAATATATGTTTAAGACTGGAGTTTGCAGTAGTTCTACAAGATGTATGTGTTGCCAAAAGGTTGCTTTCCTTTGGAGTAGTGACTTTTCCAGCCATACAATGGCTTCATAAGGACAGACACAGGCCATGAATAGGTTGCAGGGCAGGGATATTGCCTGGTATTTTGTTCTTTCATCATCTCTCAGTTCTACAGACTGGGAACCTGAATAAACCATGCTGTAGCTTCTTTCCAGTGCATACATTCCCACTCTCTTCTGCTTGGCAAGGGTAAAGGGGTTGTATTTAAGTACTTACATAAACGACCCCTTTCTCAGAAAGTGCCAAGTACCTGACGTGCAGCTCTAAAGTGCCTGTCAGTGGATGTTGCAGGGTGGCTGGTGCTTTTGAAAGCTGTGATGCTTACTGAGATGCCTAAAAACAGTGATAGAAGGAGCTGCCTTTGGTCACTTGCTTTGGAAACTCATGGCTAGAGTCTGAACTGTCATGAAATTGAGCAGTTGTCATGAGCATTGAGATGTATGGACAGGGCCCATAAGATGAGTTCTTAAACAGGTAAGAAGTATAAAGGAGAGCAAAACCCAAAGCGGTTTTTTCCTGTCTGCTATTGCTGGTCATAGAAAAAGCCAAAAGAAATTTTGACGAGAACCACAGGGTCTCTTTTGCTCCCAAGCTCCCAGAATTGCAGAGCATTAGTCCATTCAGTGTTTTGGTTATCTCAGATGAGGAATTCCGAGTTACAAGTGTTAAATCTTTTACTGTAGTTAGCAAGAGGCAATACCATGTGAGTGTAAGAAAATCCAGGACACATGTTACAGAATATTTCAGGGTTTTGAAGCTTTCATCTGTTTTAACAGGAGTTTTACATTGCCTCAGAAAGGAAATCACAGTTGTATTGTTTGCCTGGGGGCTTTTTAAGTAGATACGCTTCTGAAAAGGAGCTTTATGTTCTCCGTAAATAGGGTGAAGTGTAATAAGTGAGGAGAATAAAATTTTATTTCCTGAAGAGAGAAAGGCAGAGCACAGAGATACAGTGGTATTCAAACACCTAGCATCAATATTCTAGATATGAGTGCCTATTTAAAGCCGTGCTAAAACTCCCTTATCTTTGATGAACATAGGGGCTGATCCAGCATAGGTACCACCATCTGATGAGGTTTTGTGCATCAGGGAGAAGGTGGAGATTCTTGTAAGAAGGAACTCGTCTGCAATCTAGTTTAGCATCAGCTGAGAGGGTTTTTTTTTAAAGTGTAAGAATTAATTATATTATCTCTTCTTTTTGTTAAGTAACACGTGGATTATTCCTATTTCTTGGATGAGAAATGGATCATCACAACCCTTAATGTGGCTAGATAAAAGTAGCAGTAAGTAATGTATTTGTTCACACATGCTAAAACCAAGCTGATGAAAACACATCTAACTGTATAACAGAGGATATATTTGAATTGAATAGGGAGATAAAACTTGTCACAAAAATGTCTATGTTACAATAGCAATAGATTTTCAAATAGGTTAATATATTGTTTTTTTCTATGTTGTATCAAAATTCAGTGCACATTTTTAATAATATGGTAGAACGCATATTATGAGTAGAGATTTCCACAGTAATTTTGATTTTGTGATTTTGTATACAAATACAAAGTCCTGTCTCCTCACGTTTCTGTATTATTCTTACCCCAGCAGATCCCACTGATGTTAATGACGGCTTTTGAGTATAGGTAGGATCTCAGCTGTGATATATCAGAAGATGATAGACAGAAGACTCAAAAAATTAAAACCAGATGTATGAAGTGACCCAACATTGTCACACATGGATATTTATAAAAACAGAAAAGGAATATTCTCAACATGATTTAATTTAATGTGTTATGCAAATTAAAAGCAAAAATGCTCTTATTGAAAGAGTAACATTTTTGAAAGTTCTAAGGGCTTATAATGGATAAGTGAGTTTATAGGCATCTCCAATCAAATAAAAAATTCAGTTCTTTCTCATCTCAGTGCTTTCCAATAGTCAGCTATATTTTTTTGAGAAAGATGAAGTGTAATCATTAGAATGGGGTAGTAATTTTTCTTTGTCAAGTCAGCTCTGAACTCCGTCAGGTTTTGAATCAGTTACTTGGAGATGTAGAGACTGGTGTGCTTGTGAAATGCTTGAGAGGAAAACTGCAATATGCTGCATGCACATGGCAGCTCTCTACTCTCTGTTTGAAGTGGTTAAAAGCTACTTTCCTTCTTTTTCAGGCAGTAAGATCACTTAAGTGATCATTTCACAGTATATCGACAAGTAAATAAGTAAACAACGGATTTTTTTTCTGAATGCTTTAAAGTTAAATAAGCCACTGATTGCTAAGGTGAAAAAAATAGAACATTTGCAGAAAATAATTGTTAGGCATCGCTTCTTAGAAGGACTAGTGTCACGTGCCAAGTTTGTATTGTTGAAGTGATACCAATTCAGTTTCCTCACCTTCATGTGACTTAAGAGCTACAGAAGTTAGAAAAACCCCTATCATATTGCATCTCCCTGAAGGGACTACTATAAAGTAGGAATTCAGTATTGAACACACATTCCACTTGCATTTGAAAGCTATGTATCAAACTTACCAGACACTATTCAGTCAAGGAACTTGCATCACATTTTAAGATTTAAAAAATTAATAGCACCTCCAGGGATGGGGCATCCACAACTTCCCTGGGCAACCTGTTCCAGTGCCTCACCACCCTCACAGTGAGACACTGGAACAGGTTGCCCAGAGAAGCTGTGGATGCCCCATCCCTGGAGGTGTTCAAGGCCAGGCTGGATGAGGCTTTGAGCAACCTGGTCTAGTGGAGGGTGTCCCTGCCCATGGCAGTTGTTGGAATTCGATGATCGAAGGTCCTTTCCAACCCTGACCATTCTATGATTCTATGATTCTATAATTTTCTTTTTGATGCAGATCCATAAATAAACCAAATTGTTTCTTACAAAAGCAGAAATGTTAAGGGTAATTTTAAATTCAGTTACCATTTTGTTTCTGTGAGAATGTCTTCTGTTATGCTGTCATTCAGACATACTAATCAGAATGGTTTTGGTAAATGAAAATGAGGGATTTAGTAAAAAGTACAGTTTTAACTTGAATGTTGAAGTACTTACTGCAGTGGCATAACAATATATAAAGAGGAAACATCACAAAAGTGATTTTGCCTATGTATATTTTTTGCTGTGAAGAGATCTGTAGGAGCTAATTTATCTTACTTCTAGACAGGTTGAACTAAACTACAAGCTCCAATCTGGGCTGCTACCAGCAGCCAAGCATGTTCATTGAGTGATGCACTGTATAGCGTTACAAGCTCGTTCTGTTGGTTTAGGGCTCCTCAGGCAACGTCTACATACTTATCTTCTGCCCATGTAATGGCAATGGTCACTGACCCTGAGTGAGATGTATGCGCAGCAAAAAAAGACATCCTAGGAGGGTGGTGCTGTTACGGGAGAACGTTCCGCTCAGCCTGGGGAGTGGAGGAGCACAGTTTTGCTATTTTAGCTGGATCTAAAAGTGCTCTTGATGATGAGCAGAACATTGAACCAATATGCCATTACAGGGGAAGTGCTGCTAGTGCCACCCACACTGTTTTTTAATGGTTAAGCCATTATCTGTCATGTGCCACTTTTCCATATCATTTAACCTGTGAAAATGCCTGAGGATAAATCCTTTGGTACTTGCTCAGTTAAAAGACATTGAAGTCTCAGTCTTCTGTTCAGAATAGGGCAGTGAGTCTGCAGGCAGTCTCACCAATATTGATTTATTGTCTTAAGAGAGTTTGCCTTCTTAAATCAGGATGATCATAGCCTGTTAAAGCAGCATTTGAATTTTCTTGTGGAGAGGCAGCTTAGAGCCTTCAAGTCTGTGCTTCAGATGTGCTGTAGGCGATCAGGACCAAGTAATCAGACAAGCACACATAAAGTGGGTCACAGTGAGATGAAATGGAACTGCAGAAGGAGGCCTTTAGTGAGTGGCGTAACTCAAAAGGACTATGGGACTATTTTACTTAAAATTTTCTGATTACTTGTCTCTTGCACAAACTCAGCTGCTTTGTTTTCCTTGATCTCCATTTATGTGAATACTCGTAGGTGGTCTGTTCTTCTGTAAGGTACAGAGTGTTGTGGTTTGGAGCAGCACTGGGAGCAGCAGGCGTACTAGGGGTATTACTCCTCATCCAGACTGTTTATTCTTGGGTAACCTTTCTGAACTCTCCCAGCTGCTTATGAGCTAAAGGGTAGGAGCAAAGTGGGTCTTCGGCCTCCCCTTTGCCATCTCAAGGTACTCAGTACCTGAGGGGTCAGTTGCTTGTTGAAGTTTTTCTGCTGTGCAGAGATCACAAAGGCACTGAGTTTTTGGGGGGTTCTCTTTGAGTCCGCCCTCAAACTTGTGTCTCAGATCTCAGAGGAGCACTGAGTCCAGTGTTTATAAATGCAAGAGAATTTAACAGTGCACAGAAATAAAATGATACATTTTAATGTCACTTTACAGAAGTGTTTCCTGAAATGCAAGTCTCAGAGTCAGAATATGACTGGATCCTGCTAAATGTAAATTTAAGTGGATACTACAGAGTGAACTATGATCAATTAAACTTCAAAAGATTAGCACGCTTGCTTGAAAATGATCCAAAGGTAAGATCGTGTTTGCTTTCTCAAGCTTATAAACAAACTCTTTCCATGTATTTCTTCTTGCAATTCTTACCAGTAATCACATTGATGAAAACCTGGAATAATGAGGAACTCACATATCACATAAGAAGAAATGATCCACCCTTGTACCACTAAAGTCACTGTCAGCCTTCCATAGTGGAAGAGGAACAGGTCCAAATAGTTTCACATAAGCATGAAAAATAACTTTACATGAGATGTCATTCTGTCTTCAGAGTTGTCGTAACAGCTTGTGGTTCTTCCAGCCTCTTACATGTGGCTCAAAGAGTTATCAGTACAGATGTGTGACTGAGCTTTATTTGCTATTAGGTAACCATGAAGAAGGAAAGCTGTGAGAAAGCTTTTTATTTCCACATTTCCTCAAAGCACAATATTTCTGCCAATGAAATGTCAAAAAAAAAAAAAAAAGTGACTTGGGTTTTTTGGTTGGGTGGTGGGTTGGTTTGGGTTTTTTTTTTATGGAGATTTTTCTTAGAAGAAAACTCCAGTCAGTTCTACTTGGGCTGTTTCAGACCTCTATAGACACCGTAACTCAGGGTAGATTTCATCCCACCTCTGACTTGCCACAGGTTGGGCTGAAGGTGAAAATGGTACAGAACAGCCCATACATGTGGCTGTATAGTATTTAATGTTTCCTAATCCTAGAGTGAGCTAGAGGCTCCAGTAATAATGTCAGCTGATTGGGTTTGGTAACAACAGTGAGAAAGTTTAAGTTTTCAGCACAATAGTAATCAGTGCAGTCAGATGACTTCCCCAGAAGGCCTGGACATGATGCCAATCAGAACATGTGCTGTGGTTAAACCTTCCTACAGCACACTGGCTTCCATTCTTCTAGGCTTTTTTCTTTCACAGCAAATAAAGGAAATGAGGTTTGTGCTGACTTAGGGCCATTTTTTGGCACTCGTCAGTGGGAAGGTTTCCTCAAGTGGTGGCTGAGCTGAAGGGGCATGAAAGCAGGGAGGAGACGAGGAGGGACAAGCAGTCCTTGTAAAAGCGGGAGCTGTAGGCAGGGGTTCACCTATGGCTGCGCCTCAATGATTTAATTCATGATAGTGCCAGACACTCTGCTCTGGACTAACTTGAGTACATATTCTGAACTGAAGCCTCAAAAATAAAAATGTTCCAAAATAGTATAGCAAGGATATTTTTAGGAAGCATGGTGTTTCCATATGTCATAGTTTTGACCTCAGCTGGCAGCCAAACCCACAACAACCACTTGCTCGCCCTCCCCCTCTCCCAGGGAGGGGGGAGAGAATTAAAGGGATAAGGGGAAAAGAGACTCATGGGTTGAGATAAGAACAATTTAATAACTAAACTACAATAATATTGAATATAATAATAGTAATACATACAAATATGCAAATGAGTGATACACAGTGATACTGCTCACCACCCAGTGACCAAGGCTCAGCCTGTTCCTGGCTAACGATCCTGGAGCAGGGAGAGTCCCGAAACGGCACTCCTGGAATGGAGAGCCTGAGTGTCCGAGAGACTGTGATGACCCTGAGAGAGGGGCAACCCAGAGGGAGATGACCTGGAGCAAGACAGAGTACTTCTGGACAGAGCCTCATCTATATACTGGGCATGATGTGCATGGTATGAATAGACCATTGGCCAATTTGCATCTCAATCCTAAACCTAAGGTCAAATCCTAGGCTAGTCACTGGGGCTGTGCTCCCTCCCAGCTTCTCC